CAATATGATAAGAAGCATATTTGATCTTTAACAATACCTTAAAATAAGAGCAATTAAATAGAACCAACGAGACTCATTAATTTATAAAACACAAAACAGTAAAACCTAGACACACCTTACCTAAACATGAAAAGAAAAAAAAAAAAAAAAAAGCAGAATTTTATTATTATAAATAAATAAAAGCTAGGATGAAATTAAATTATTACTTAGGCAACATAAGAAAGAAAAGAGGATGATGGGGTGAACCAGGTAGGTGCAGGGTTCATCCTTCTAGCACTTTCGAGATCGCGAGGATAGTAGCACGGCGAGAAAGTCGAGTTTTCGTAATTAAATATCCCGATATCGTGGCCGCCGCACGTCGCTTTCTTTTTACTCCAAGGCCGTGGAGTTAGTTGATGCGAGTCCGTGAAATAGATCGAATTGGGCTCGACGCAACCTTTACTATCATCGTCATCCGTCACGACGACGAATCCATGGCTTTTCGCACCGATGAAGAACGACATACCGTCCAAGCTACCGTCCATGCGCCTCAGCTCTCTCTTCTCTCCATCGTCGCCACCGGGAATAACAACTATCTCGTCGACAACGAAACCGACGGTCTGGTACGGAAAACTATAGTCGTGGTGACCGTTCGGGCCCCGGTGTATCTTAACACGGCGCGACACGACAAAGAGCCGATCCGACCGCTCGGCGAAGACGAGGTATTTGAATAACTCGAACGACGACGATTTGAGCCTATCCGCGTTTCCCTTGCCGCAACGAGGGCAGCGGTTATCCGCCGCAGCGAAGAGCGGCATGTCATGGTTCAACAACTTCCAGTTCATTATCGGAGAGCTCGGGTCCCGCAGATCCCAGCTCTCGAAGTCGCTGCATACGGTCATGCAGAACAACGATTGCTTCGTGTGCGAATACACGATGTCCTGGTACATCCACGGAATCGTGCGTTCGTCGTCGTGGTAGAGATCGCCCAACGGAGTCCACTCCTTACTGTGTCCGGGGACGCAGTAGGCCAGCCTATGTTCGTTGCCGAAAAACATAACGGCGCGGCATTTGGCGTCGTCGTCTTCGTCCGGAGGGCACGAGAGGATGAGCTTCACCGGAGGGCATTTCCGGGATTTGTGTTTCGGGATGGATAGGGTTTCGAGTGGCGGGAGATCTACGTGGCGGTGAGTGAGGGGATTGTAGAGGAGCATGTCGACACCGCGCTGATCGCGCATGCGCCGCCACTTGTACAAACTGCGCCGCCACTTCATTAGAGCTAGCCAACCGTGCGAAGATCCGAACACCATCCCGTCTTTCCCTCGTTTCTTGTCGACGCTTACGACTTGCTTATCGGCCAGGTTGTAGAAGTTGTACACCATGTTGTCGAGGCCGTGTTCTTCGAAGCCGCCGTCTTCGATCATCATCCATGGCGCGGGCGGCGTAGACGACGACGACGATGATATTTTTCCGACGGCTGCTTCGGTGCTTACTCGCCGAGCGCAAATCCGATTACAACAAGATCTGGCGGCGGCGGTGGCGGGATAAATCGAGCGGCGGAGTATCAAAGACCCCATTTTTTGTGTACTGCTAATGAAAGACTTGTTGCACAAGAAACAAGAGGAGGAGTGGTTTAAATAAAGAGTTTGTAAAACATGACACGTACGAGAAAAAGGGAAGGTAGGGTTTTCTTGTTAAGAGAGAGAAGGTAGGGTTTGGAATTGTGCATTTAACTATTTTTCTTAGGTTAACTGGGCCTTAATTTATTTAATCCGTATGTAATTTAACCATTTTTAAATTGGAAAAAAATGATTATTTAAATAAAGTACAATAACAATTAGAATAATAAAATATTATATTTATTTAATCCGTATGTAATTTAACCAATTTAAAATTGGAAAAAAAAATGATTATTTAAATAAAGTACAATAACAATTAGAATAATAAAATATTACAGCATTATAATGAATTTATTAGCTAGTAATATTTAAATTACAGTATTGATACTAATCTGATAATATAAACTCACTTTGCAAAAGATTGTATAAACTTAATTGTGATAAAATAAAATTGATCGTTAAATAAATGAAGCAATTAATAGAGCAATAATTTAGAGAAACAAAATAAAACGAAAGAAACTTGTAACTATGATCAGGGATGTATGGTTGAAAAATAAGAGATTGATGTTGAAAAGATCCTCCGCGGGTTGGTTTGAATTTTATACTTTTTATAATTAGAAATTAGTAGAGAAAAAAATTATAAAATTCAAAAATGCAATTACAGTTGCTTAGGATAATCCAATGTTTTTTTCTTTTATATATAAAAATATTTTATTCCCATTGCACCCATTTATCATCCATCTCTTTAACTTTATTGTTTTACATAAACTTCATACATTTCGCTCTTATATTTAAATTAATTACGTCTAGGGTTGAATTTCAAAATTTAACCTAGGTATTTTAGCTTTTTTGGAATTAAATTGCCGAAAGCACTAAACTCAAAATTTGTCCATGGATTTGTAGCAAAATTGAAAAAAGATGTTTACACTTAGCGTGACGAGTTTTTGGGTGATTTTGGTCAGTTAAAAACATAAAAAATGGTGGAAATTCGACCCAAAAAAGCTTCATAAATTCAAAAAAAACAAGCATTTATTTATACACACTAGTCTGAGTTATGCTAAAATTTGATAAACTTGTGTTTTGATGATTAATAAATGCGATATTCTGACCAACCAAAGTTTTGAAAGAAAAAAAAAATGGAATTGGTGCTAGATTTTAATTTATTGAATCAAATGTTTAGCAAGATAATTACTTAAGTTTTTTTATGGACATCTAATTAGTATACAAATGAAAAGTTTTTTAGTGAAAAAATGTACTAATGTAACAGTCAAATCAATCATATATAAATGAAAGATAAGTTTAAAAACAAATTCCAACATCAATTGTCAAATCTCAAAAGTGGAACATACCTATTTTCGTTTTAGGTTTTTTTTTTCTTTTTTTTTAATGAATAAGTTTCGACAAATTATATTTATTATTCTAGAATCATGTGTTATATTTTTTTATTAATAAACACAACCGTTTAAAATGTATTATATGTAAGTGCAAATTTAATATTTAAGACAAAATTACCCCAACCTCTTTAAACTCATTTTTTAATTGTAACCATAATTTAATTCTAATTTCATTCATTTAGACTACAAAAATTAAATTGTAACCACAAAAATTAAATTTTGAACTTTCTTTCAAACTTTTATTATTTTGATTTTTTTTATGCATCCGATTTTTGTTGTTACTTTGTTTTTCTACCATCGCTGACCGACGGTCAACGCCGGTGTTATCCCTCTCTCTCTCTCTCTCCACTGAATTTTACCAATATATTATTGTGGTTATCTGGTTGATGATAAAATTACTGTCAACCAATCAATATTGTATTTTTCGTTTTTTTTTATTTTGTTTGATTTGTTGACAACTCAACGTGTTAATATTATGGTCAACTATTGTAATATTACTATGGTTGATAGTAGAATTATTATAAACACAACAATATTACTGTCAACCACATCAATATTATTTTTTTTGCATTTTTTATTTTGTTTGATTTGTTGACGGGTCAACATAATAATATTGTTATCTACTATTGTATCATTACTGTGGTTCACAGTCATATTACTGTCGACCTCACTAATATTATCGTGGTTGACAACAATATCACTGTCAACCACAACGATATTAATTTTTTTGAGTTTTCATTGTGTTTACCTTTATTGATCGATCAATATAGTAATATTATTGTATTACCAATAAATTTATTATGTAACATAGTGATTTTATTGCATTAATATTATTGTGCTAGGTAGTAATATAGTTAATATTACTATCAATCACAATAATATTGCTATTTTTACTTGGGTCAAAAAAAAATTTGAAAAAAAAAAATTTACACCGAAAATTGACGGTGAACGATAGTTGACCGGCGGTCAACAACGCGTGATTAAAATTGGAGTTAAAACTGGATTAAGGGTCAAAATTGAATATTTGATAAAATTGGGATCAAATTAAGGTTTAATAGTTGATGCATATTTAAATGTAAGAGGGTATTTTAAGCATTTACCTACCTCTTAACTTTGTTAGAATGTCTTTTTTTACAAAAGAGTTTTAAGATTTAATCTATATATGAATAAGTAGCACATGATAGGCTTATTGGCTATGATGCATGGAAACTTCAACCCACACACGTTTCTACGTTTCGAAACCCGAAACACCATGATATCTGGCGGAAACGTTTCGGGGCCGTTTTCATAAATATTAAAAAGTTTCGAGGACATTTCTGATAATAATGAAAAACTGAAAACGCGTTTCCAAACAAAATAAATCCAAATTTCATTTTAAATAAAAACTTCGAATTGCATACGCATAAAAAAAATCTTAAATCATATGTCTCATTTTCACTTCTAGTGGTGTTTTAATAATTTTGTAGATGTTAATTCCATATTAAAATAAATTTATATGCCCCAAATGTAATTTGTGGAATGATATTAAACATTATAATATTTTTTACAAATTATGAATGTACCCCTATATTTTTATTATTTATGCATTTTCCCCACTTTCCCCACTTTCCCGTATCCAATTATTTGGAAAACGGAATTTTCCTGTATCCGTTTCCTTATTTTCCCATATCCCTGCTACATAGCTTGTCGGTAATAAATAGCCCCTTTCACTTTAGGAAGAAAGTGAGAAGAGTTTGAAAATCGGGCAAAACATAGTCGATGTCTCCGAAAAAAAGAAGAATTACCAATATTTATTTCTAACAAGTAGGAAAATAATGTAGACAATATGATTCAATCATAAACCTATTGCTCTGACAAGGATTGGTTATTAGTTATTACAATTATCAAGTTATCTACTATACAACAAACAATTTTTTTATTTCAAATTACAATATATATAAAAATAAGAAAATAGTACGAAAAACAATATTATATATCAAAAAATACATAAAAAAAGAAGAGAAATTCCGCGTTCAAATATAGACCACCATGGCTGCTTTGACTTTGACCTGTCTGTACCAGCTAAGACTGACGATGTGGAAATTTTTTAATTTTTATTTTTATGCAAACTGAAAAATTCCAGGCTACAAAAAATAATCGAAAAAGAAAGAAAATAGAAGAGAGAGAAAGAAGAGAGAGAAAGTGCAAGAACGACGAAAATCGTTGTTCCTCTCACATCTGATAATCAATCCCTTTGTAACTCTCAACTATTCTCTAGGGTAAGCTTTTTTTTATACCCATTTCTTTCTTGTTGCATAAATCTTCTTTGTTTCATCATCCTCTTCCTAATTTGTAATAATTGAAGTTTCCGCCGCCGCCTCCGCCTCCGCCGCCGCCGCCGCCTGTTCATGACTGCGGTTCTTCAAGGCCGAACTGGGTTTTGATAAATACGGCGTCGTTTTGCCAGTTTAAGTCAAAAGATTCGAACTTTATGCTTTTGGTCTTGGTGAAAAGTGGGGGAGATTTTGACGAGGGAGGAATATGGGTTTATTTTTGTTGATTTGGAGTTGCTTTATATGCTAATTTTTCCTTGATGCAAAAGGGATTCTTTTTCTTCACTCTATTTTAACAGATTTAGGGGCAAAAAAGGAAAAAAAAAAAGAAAAAAAAAACAATCTTGATTGGTCTTTCTGGAAAATTGAGTCCACATTTAGTGAATTGATGAGTCCAATCTTGCAAAAGATTGATTCTTTAGTATATTTATTTGTTTCTTAACCTTTTTTAGCATCTGAGTTTGAGGGTTTGTGTTTAGAGGAATAAATATTTGTGAAGATTTGGAAGCTGAAATTTGGGGGTTATAGTAGTAGTAAAAATCGAAATATGTTGAAACAAATACTCGGTAAGATCAAGCATTCGAAATCCGGTGGAGACCCGAATCCCTCCTCGAGTTCTCTAGCCACCTCAAAGAGAAGCGACGGGGCCCACTCGAGATTCAGTACTGTGGTCGATGATGCTGTTTCGGCTCCGTATTCCGGTTTAAGCCTCGACTCGGAAGACAAGTATCTTCGCGAGAAGAACTCGACGTGGAACGGAAACATAGTTTCTGCTTCGTACGATGCTTTACCGAGTTTTAAGGATGTCCCGATTTCCGAAAAGCAGCACTTGTTCATCAGGAAAGTGAAGATGTGCTGTGTGGTATTCGATTTCACGGACCCCACGAAGAACTTCAAAGAGAAAGACATCAAGAGGCAGACTTTATTGGAGCTAGTCGAGTACATAACTTCCGCGAACGGAAAATTTCCGGAAAATATGATGCAAGAAGTTGTTAAGATGGTGTCGGCGAATATCTTCAGAGAATTCATCCCTCAACCTAGAGAGAACAAGCTAATAAACGGGCTCGATTTGGAGGATGAAGAGCCTGCAATGGACCCCACGTGGCCCCACTTGCAAGCCGTGTATGAATTCTTGCTAAGGTTCGTCGCTTCGCCTGAAACCGACGCCAAAATCGCCAAACGGTACATCGACCACTCGTTTATTCTGAAATTGCTCGCTTTGTTCGATTCGGAAGATCCTAGAGAGAGGGAGTATTTGAAGACGATACTGCACCGTATATACGGGAAGTTCATGGTGCACAGGCCGTTCATAAGAAAAACGATCAATAATATATTCCATCAATTCATTTTCGAGACGGAGAAGCATAACGGAATCGCCGAGTTTCTTGAAGTGCTCGGGAGTATAATCAACGGGTATGCTCTGCCTTTGAAAGAAGAGCATAAGCTCTTTCTTGTTCGGATATTGATTCCTTTGCATAAGCCGAAGTGTTTGGCTACGTACCACCAGCAATTGTCGTACTGCATTACGCAGTATGTCGAGAAAGATTGCAAATTGGCCGATATTATTATTAGGGGACTGATTAAATATTGGCCGGTTACGAACAGTTCGAAGGAAGTTTTGTTTCTTAACGAGCTCGAGGAAGTTCTGGAAGCCACTCAGGGACCGGAGTTTCAACGGTGCATGGTGCCTTTGTTTCAGCAGATTTCTCGTAGCTTGAACAGTATGCATTTCCAGGTACTCAAAAGACGTTTTTACCCTTTTAAGTGCTTTTTATTTACTACTATGTCCTTGATAATGGACATTAATGTTCCCATGCATTGTGTATTTTGATTGATTCGCTAAAGTCGAAAAATGTTAAATATTGATAAACAATGTGAGCGTCGATCTTTTATAGGGTATTTGGGATAAAGAATGTGATTCCGATAATCATAATACTATTTTAATCTATGGGCAGTGTTATCGGTAAGATGAATGATAATTTTGTACTGTTTCTGGAAATGAGTTTGTGTTGTTAAGAAAAATCGTCGTCTCCTTTTATTATGGATTTTGTTTCGATTTCCGTGCATGGAGCATCGTGTAGTTGTCGTAGAATTAGTTTTGTTTGGGTGAGGAAGTAATAAATTTATATATTTTGCTTAGAATTGGCGTTTTCTATTATCGACCTACACGTGTCGAAAGTAATTTCTTGCACAAAAGCAACGATCACTCCAAATTTAATAGCTTTGATGTCGTGTAAATATCTGCCTCGTTACTTCGTGTTAATAGCCTTAATTTCGATAGATTTATTAAGCAACTTATTTCGATAGATAATTTAGATGTTGCAGTGTCTGCAGATAAACTTTGATTTTGATTTTTATTTTCCGAAATAATTTAAATGTCCTTATAAACTAAGATTTACATATAAAAATATTAAGGGCGCAAAGTTTTAATTCATTTTAAAAGTGCTTTTAGACTAGAAAAGCTGTTGCATAAATGCTAGCCTAAAACAATTTATTTGCAAACACTCAAAACTAGATTATGTGCTAAATAATCAAAGCTCGTAAACTTCTGTCAGAAGCTTCTGGAAAACATCACCTAACTATTGACAAGGCTTTGATCCGATTCTTATTAACTTTGGTCGTCTGAGTTGGGAAGTTGGAGAATATATAAATAGACTTGGTTAAAGAACCGAGGCTATATGTACGTAGGTTGACTTGAATTATCAACTTTCTTGTTGCTGTTTCTAATTTTGTGTTACTTACACGTGTCAAATTTGTTGTGTGGGCTATCTTTTTGAGTAATCGAGAACTAGCTTTCTTCTTTGATCAGCTAATTTCACAACGTTTTATAGGGTTTCACCTAGGGGTGAAAATTGGAATGGACTTTCCGAATTTCGCCAATTTTCCGATCCTAATAATTCCCATAATGGAACAAATATTTTTCATTATGATTTCCGATTTTTTTCAATTTTAGTTATTTGAACGGAATTGGAATGTAAATCATATTTCCATTTCCATTCCGATTTATGTTTTTCCGAAAATTATACTTATATATCATTTTCTTTTTTGTATTTTATATATACAAAAAATTTGGAAGTTCCAAATTCCGCAGATTCCGATCCGAAAATTTTGGATTTTGGAACAAGTTTTTTTCATTCCAATTTCTGAAATCCCGATTTCCAAATTTTCCGATTTCTTTTTTGGGAACCGAACTAGAATTAGTTTTTTCGCTTCCAAAAAAAAAATGTAATTTTTCCGAAAACGCTAATTCCGATACGATCCGTCTCGATTTACACCCCTAGTTTCAGCAAACACGTTTCAACTTTTAAATATTTGGCGATCGGTATTTATTACAAGATAATCATACAAGTCATTTTGGTTACTTTTTGCATTCTCAATTTCATATCCTATTCGATTTTTCTTTCCTAATTAGATTATGACATTTTATTTCGTTAATACGTGGGTTCAACTCTTGTTAAGTCACTTTTAGATTGTTTGAAATAATTGCGAATTTTATTTTATTTTGAATAAATACAGGTGGCGGAGAGGGCTTTATTCCTGTGGAACAACGAGCACATAGAGAACCTGATAAAGCAGAATCGAAAGGTAATCCTGCCAATAATATTCCCAGCCATAGAGAGAAACGCGAAGCACTGGAACCAAGCGGTGCACAGTTTGAGCCTCAATGTACGCAAGATATTTTACGATCTTGACCCCGATCTATTCAAAGCTTGCCAGCTCAAATTTCAAGAAGACGAAGCAAAGGAAGACGAGATCAAACAGAGACGGGAGACCATCTGGAAACGTCTAGAAGAACTTGCTGCCAAAACAAGCAACAACTAAACGAAAAAAAAAGTTATTTATTCGTTTCTTTAAGACATGCCAATGTTTTGCGTATGAGCAGTTTTTCGAGGATATATTTTTTATTTTATTTTATTTTATTTTAATTTGATTTATAGTGTGTGGGGTTTTATCTAAATAATAAGCTGACTGATTTTTTTTTATTCTATTTTATTTTTTTGACTTGTGGAGTGAAAATGTGAAATGTCTGTATAATGTACAAGTAGAAAACAGTTACATTACATAGCTACTGCTGCTGTCAAATATTAGTTTTTCTTGTGAAGTTTTGCTTTAAATTTGGCGCCTTATATATATATATATTTTTGATTTTGCCGATTTTTTTGTTTTTTTTAAGGATTTCGATTTTGGTTAACGGGGTTTTGCTAGGGAGAGCTGAATAATATGTTATATTGTTGTGATGATTCCGATTCCGATAAGAAAAGGTTAACGGGATTTTGCTACGGAGAACTGAATATGAATATGTTATATTGTTGTGATGATTCCGATTCCGATAAAAAAAGTGGAAGAATGAATTTGCAAAGATTGGAATGAAGGGTTTTATTCTAAAATCGGAATTTTTTTCATTGAAATCGGCGAAAATTTACAATTCTATTTTTTATGGGTAAATTACAACTACCTCCCTAATGTAAAATCTAATTACGAAAAAAAAAACCTTTTTTAAAAACAAAGTTTACATCCAGCCCCCTGCAGTTTGTAAATTTCTTACATCCCCTCCCTTACAAAAGGGTGTTAACGTAAGAAACCTACAAATTGCAAGGGGGAATATAATTATGAAAAAATAAGGGGGTTTTCGTAAACACACCTTACCTCGGGTCATTGTAATTTAACCTTTTTTTATTCACATATATAAGTGCAACTTTTGAATTTTTTTAGCAAAGAAGAGAGGCAAAGAATTTTGGTCATGTGTGACATACAAGATTATAATAAAACATTAAAAGTTAGTAGAATTGGTGGATTGGATAGAAAATAGCAAGTAAACAACTTCAATTGAGACTTTTGGGAATTGTAAATTATATTTAAAGACTTATAGAAACTCCACTATAACATTATCATGATATTGTATCATGAGATAAAATTGATATCTAGTTATTGGCTATGATGATAAATACTCTCATTTTTAAATTAGTATTTGTTTTAAAAAAAAAATCTATAAAATTTTAATTCCCCGTTATATTTAAAAAAAAAAAATAAAAAAAAATCAATTAGATATATTTCTAAATTAGATATTTTACTGATTATGTTAAATTTTTTGATTGTTTATAATTGTTTAAGGGGTAAACAAAAGAGGTTATTTCGTAACTAACTGTAGCTCATAGTTCAGCTAGTGTTCGTAATTTTCCTAAAATATATAATGTTGCCAATATTTTGAAAATGCCTTTCACACAAAATAGTAATCATAAATGGGGATTGTAATACGAATCGGGCATATTACTAGGTTGCGGCGGGATTTTAGAAAAAATTCTCCACTTTCAATTTCTGAAATTTTGAGACTTTGAAACTCATTTCGATAATATTCGAAGAACAACAACAATCATCTGGTATTTATGTTACAATTTTGAAGTAAAAATAAGTGGTTCGATTTTTTGTTTTTCCGAAAAGTTATGTATTTCGTGTTGTTGAACACAAAACTTGTTCCAAAGTTTCGTGCTCAACAACACGAAAAAAATAATCATAGCTTCGTGCTATAGAGTACCAACCTTTTGATTTTTTTTTTATTTTATTTTTTTGTATTTTGATAGTTTCGTACATGAGAGCACGAAATCAATTCAAAAATCGGAATACATGATAGTTTCGTGCTTAGGAGTTCGAAGTTAGAAGGAGGGTTTCGTGCTCTAAAAAAGCATGAAACGTTCAAATTTTTTAATGTTTCGTGTCCTCGAGCACGAATCTTCCGAGTGTGCGTTTTGTTTTCGAACTCCTAACCCCTAAACCTTAATCTTAAACCTATATTTGTTAACTAAAACATAAATAAATTGATTGAAACGAACTAAGTTAGTAAAAGTTTCCGCAAATCAAAAGTTGTACGCATCAGATTGAATGTTGTGGGGTTGGATGATTTTCAAATGTTTAAGAAAATTTTAAATTTTAAAACGATGGAAATCCAGTTGCTACGAGTAAAAGCCCCGCTGCAAATAGTATTTCCGATGTGTGCAACTCTTTGTTTCGTGGAGTACTTTAAAACTTATCAATTTTCTAATTTGATTTTTTCTTGTTATCTAAATTTAAAATTATGAATTATTTGCCACCTCATAATCCCTGTAATGGCAGCCAAAAGTCCAGCTTGGCAACCTCTGTCACATATATATATAAATATTATATATATATATATATATATATATATATATATATATATATATATATTGTTAATATTTAATTTAGATTTCCATTCAAAGTCTTGAAAATTCTGTTTCCAGAAGCTCTCATCACGAATTGAAACTTGAATCAATCTCCTCTCTCTCTCTCTCTCTCTCTTCTCTCTCTCTCTTCATCCATGTAAAAATTCAAAGCTTTGAATTTATACATTTACACGCAGAGATATATATACATATATATTCTTTGATATATGTAATATATATAAATATCTGCGTGTGAATCGATAATGCCTAGCGTAACAGTGAAATTGTACAGCGTCTTGTCCAAATTCTTCCTCAAACGCAAGTTGCAGACCTTGATCGAATCCCCTACCCACAACCCTAACGGAATCGTCTCCCGCCCCGATGAGACCATCGCCGCCGCTAATCCCAGCTTCTCCGACGACGGCGTCGCCACCAAGGACCTCCACATCGACCCCTTGACCTCCCTCTCGCTGCGAATTTTCCTCCCCGATTCCGCAATCGTTTCCCCCAAATCGATCCCGGATCTGAGGGTTAGGGTTCCCTCCAGCAGGAGTTTGAAGAAGGTTTCCGACAGCGGCGTTGTTTACGGCGGGTATTCGCCGGAGAAGAGCGGCCGTAATTGCCGTAAGCTTCCGATTATTCTGCAGTTTCACGGCGGAGGGTGGGTGACCGGCGGAAGCGACACCGTGGCGAACGATGTGTTCTGCAGGAGGCTGGCGAAATTGTGCGATGCGGTGGTGGTGGCGGTGGGGTATAGGTTGGCGCCGGAAAGTAGGTTTCCGGCTGCGTTTGACGATGGGGTTAAAGTATTGAATTGGTTGGCGAAGCAGGCGAATTTGGCGGAGTGCGATCGGTCATTTGGGAATCGGATGGTCGGAGGTGGAGGTCGAGGTGGAGGTGGTGTTATAGGCGGCGGAGGAGGAGGAGATGGCCGGAGGCGGCAGATTGTCGACGGGTTTGGGGCATCGATGTTTGAGCCATGGTTGGCTGCTCATGCAGATCCATCTAGGTATATTCCTTTTTTCATCTCTAAGCTAACTATGCTGCTTTTATCAAGCACCATGAAAAATGATCATGGAATTTCTGTATGCATATATATATACATATATATATATATATATATATATATATATATGCTTTTTCTAGTGTTGCTATGGTAAATGTCGTTTCAGTATTATTTTTAATAATACTGTTCCGAATTTAAGTGTGATTTTGACCATTTCGGAGACTGAATTAGGCAAAACTCAAAACTACTAAATTTGTAGTTCTTTGAGTTAACTTTTTAACCTCTCTTGAATCACCAAAATTGGATGTCGTGTGAGAAATATATGCACGAATCAGTGAACATTGCGTACAATATTGCTGTTTTGAGTTATCTAAAATTCAAAATGTAACTCCATTCATGCATAACCTTGTCACTCGACATTCAATCTACGTGATTCAAGTTGGATTAGAAAGCTAGCTTAGAGGACTATAGTTTTCCGTGTTTGAATTTAGCCAAAATCAGTCTAGAAAAAGCGTCAAAATCACGTTCGAAGTCAAAATGGTATCAGTAAAGTTGAAACGACATTTCACATTTCAGTATTAGAAACCTAATGCGGTTCTTGTATATGTTATTGGCTTCATCGTTTTTATATCTATGTAATTGCTCGTCTATTCGTTTCGCCCCTCTTCACCCATCTTTGTTATATGCTCAAAGCCATCAAAATCTTGATTCTTGACCATCAATCTACTAAATTGAAATAAGAAATTTCCGGTACAATTTGTTACAATTTTTTTAAAAGAAGCTGATCTTGGCGAAAACCCTTAAAACAGGTGTGTTCTTCTCGGGGTAAGCTGCGGCGCAAATATAGCAAACTACGTCGCAAAATATTCCGTAAAAGCAGGGAAGCTTCTCGACCCTATAAGAGTGGTTGCACAAGTTCTCATGTACCCTTTCTTCATCGGAACCACTCCTACACCTTCCGAAGTCAAGCTCTGCAATTCCTACCTCTACGACAAATCAATGTCGCTTCTCGCATGGAAGCTTTTCTTACCCGGAGAAGACTTCAATTTGGATCATCCAGCTTGTAACCCTCTCAACTCGGGCAGAGAAGTGCCCTTAAAGTACACCCCGCCTACACTGACAATTGTGGCGGAGCACGATTGGATGAGGGACCGGGCGATTGCCTACTCGGAGGAGCTTCGTAAGGTTAACGTGGACGCCCCTGTTCTTGATTACAAAGACGCTATTCACGAGTTTGCCACTCTCGATGTTCTGCTCAAGACCCCACAAGCGCAGGCCTGCGCGGAAGACATTTGTATATGGATGAAGAAGTATATATCTCTTAGAGGGCACGAGTTTTCGTACTGAACGAATCGAACCCCGTTTCGCTTTCTATGAAGGAGAGGATTGAGAAGTTAGTGGAGAGAGACACAGCTCTTGTTGTATAGATTTCGAGGTAGTTTGTTTATTCCTTTTTCTCCCCCCCTCTATATGCAATTCTTTCATGTATATTTTTTTTGTAGTTGGTTCGAGTTTGAAGGTAATTAGTGATGAGGGATCATTTTCTTTTCTTCTTTACAATCCATTCATTTTTTTAATGAGTAAATGTGTGTTTGATTTTTTGTAAGAATGATAACCTGTAGTAAAATTGAGATGGATCCTGTCGATTCATTTGCATATGTTTGCTACATTTTAAGATGTATACAAGAATATGTGGGAGCGCCCGCATGGGTGTAGCTCAACTGGTTCCGGAGGTGGTAAGTTGGTGCAAGGTCCTAGGATCAAATCCTGGCAGCCGCAGTGTGGGAATTTCAACTCCAAATGAGGGTTGGTTCCTTGTGGGCACCAGGTCCGGGTCCGCTACCTTAACGGGCCGTTGAGTTACCATGATTTACATCCTCCATCAATCCTTGTCGGGCCAAGGGATGGTGAGTTACCATGATTTACATCCTCCATCAATCCTTGTCGGGCCAAGGGATGGGAGCCCCTAGGGCGAGGGATTCGCCTTTTATGGTGCAAGAATATGTTACTCTTCAATTACTACTTTTCTTAGAAATTGTCAAGGGGACCAAAATGCCACCCCTTGATGTAAGATTCAATTACGAAAAAACCCTTTACGTTTGGATAATTACGATTATCCATCAACTATGAATCTTTTTACATTTCCATCCTGGCAGTATTAAATTTAGTAGAATTTCTTAAATTGTGTGAAATATTCTCAATTTTGTACCAGTTTTATCCCATTCGAACTCCACATTTTGAAGCAAGATGATCATAATATGTGTTTTTTGGCTTGTATATATCATATTGTGGTGCATCAAAAACAATATTTTTACACAAAAAAAATATAAACTAGAGCACATTCCACAAAATCTAGAAAATTATGTTGAATTTGACACCATAAGAGTAAACATGTAAGAAGATCAATAGTCGAAAGAAATAGTTGTAATTCCCAAACAAGATTGGTTTTTATTTCTCGCACCTTAACCCTAAGAAAGGTGTGACCGCAATTTACCTTAAAAATTAAAAAAAATCCCCAATTTCCAATGGTTCATCATTATCCAAAATTCCAATTAATTATAGCCAGAAGAAAACCCACAAACAAATAAAAACGAAGAAAAGGAAAGGAGAGTAGTGAAAATGAAAATTTGTGGATAAGGCTTTATCCCCGGCCCCGTAGGCACAATAGCAAACACAATCAAGAATCTTGAAAATAAAAATTGGAACTTTACACAACACTATACTCTCTCCCTCTCTCCCTCTCTCTCTCTCTGCAGAGATTAATTGGTTGAGCTAATCGGTAGTTATGGAGGTGGGGATGTCTTTGAATCAACTGGTGAGACTGCCCTTATCGTCAAAAAATGGTGGAAGAAGAACGCACGAAGATTATTCTCTCATCAGACACTCTCTCTTCTCCACTAAGACAACAACATCAGCTGCCCGGAAATCAATATTCGGGCAGAATCAAGGCAAGTCTGTTCTTGTAGTTGAAGCAAAGGGCAAGAAAGGAATGGCCGAAAGACAGTACCAGAGGAAAGCCCCTCCTCCTCTCCCCAAACTCGATGATGACGGCAACCCCAAATTCGTTATCTTCATTCGTATGGCTAACGTGCGCTCTCTCTCTCTCTCTCTCTCTCTCTCTCTCTCTCTCTCTCACACACACACACACACACAAACACACACACACAGTGTTGTTTTTACTGGGTTTTTGAAAAGTTTGGTTCTTGATTGGTTGATTGGTGATTTCAGGTATACCTATGGTACCCATTGAACATAGTGACAGGTGGCACTACGGCGAAAATCATGCTTGCTGCAAAGGACAACTTTCTTGGCAAATATATCTACAAAGATACTCTAGCTAGAAATCTTGCATCTGTTATATACAGGGTGAGTTTCTTTAATTTCCCTACTTAATTTTTATTTATAATTATGTTGCAGATTATCGAAACTTAGGGTTCGAATTTTAGATCTATTTGTGGCTGTGAATTGAAATTTGAAAGCAATTAAGTATACTTAATTTCACAATCTTGAAAACGAAAACAGGACGAAAAGGAGATACAGAAGATGGCCGTGAAAACGTTTCGTGTACTGCGGTCCGCTACGGAGTTCCGATACGGCTACAAGATTGTCGTAATGTTTTCTAAATCTCTAATCGGCAGTGGGTTTTGGGTTTTCGAATTCTTGATAATGCTCGTTTTGATTTTTTCGTGTTGTAGTAATATTTTTTCGGCTGCTAAAATGCAGGAAAACAACAATGTAAGGGCTGCTCTAGCTGCAAATGATGTTATCGAGGTATTAATCTTCACTTATCGACCTTTTTCGTATTTACTTCTTTGCTCGTTTATCATCAATTTCAAGTTTCAAGATTCGATTTTTACTCTATCTTCTTGAAATCCGATATGGAGAGAGAGAGCTAACGATTGACCCTATTATTGTTATGTGTGCCCTTTCGGATTTGTTCGTAGTTAACTTTTTACATGTATGAATTCTCCGATTTTTTTTTTTTTTTTAAATTTACCGTTGCTTTTATGACTTATACAGTTCAAATGAGAATACGATCGAAAAATGATGATTCCATGCTAATTGCTAACGTATCGAGTTTTATTCCCGTGCAAAAATCTTCAGCTTCCGACACAGGATAAGCTGAAAACAGTTGTCGATAAAGTGAAGGACTTCTTCGGAGATGCCAAAGAATCTTTTGGGAAGATGACATTCTTGAACGCCGAACCAGAATCTTCAGACGAAGACTCCAAACAAGATTCCAACGAAAAATCCACGTGAGTAACCACACAATTCTTAATAGTCGTTTCTTGTCTTTTAAAGCTCGCTACTAAACATAAAACGGAAAAAATGGTGACTAGGGTGAAAAGCTGAAGCTGAAGAAAGAAATAAGCTGGACAAGGATAAAGAATTTTACGAGCCGAGGACAATATAATTTACAACCTGTCAAGAAAATCGCGTTTTTCAGTTTTGTACACTAAACATTTGTTCATAGTTTCTTACCATCATCAACAACGATTTCGTTTTTATTGCATCCTTTTCCTATTTTTTTCATCGTATCGTAGCTCAATTGTCTCGTTGAAACTTTCGTATATGTCGCCCGAATCTTTGAAAATTATATCATATTAAATATCAGTGTACTAATCATGAGTGATAAAATTAAATAATATAGAAGCGGTCGATATCATTTTTCAAAAAAAAAATCTTACGACGTGTTCTGAAATGAAAGCTTCGATTTCGTGGACATTATTCATAATTGTAATTTAATTAGGGCAAATTACCGCCACCCCCTTGAGTTATGCTCAAATTACAAAAAAACCCCTCATGTTTGGGTAATTACAGCCAACCCCATCAATTATGTATTATCTTACGAAAATACCCCTCCAAAGGTAAATTTAGGATGTTTAATCGTTAAAACCGAATCGAAATTTCGGTACGCCAACATTTCATACCGTTTACCGAATTAAATATACGATTTGGTTCGGTAAATAACCGAATTACATAAATTTTATGTAAAAATATTTAAAAGGAGGGGTGGTTGTAATTACCCAAACAAGATGGGTTTTTTCATAATTTAGCCATACTTCAGGTATTGGCCGTAATTCGCCCATTAAATTATGACTTTTTGAATAGTCAACCTCAAAATTATGCAGGTCAACTACTAGTGTCGGCATGTTTGGCCTAAACAAATGTTTAAGCTAATCATCCCATGATTATTTTGTTAATAAGAAACTTGTTCCTTTAATTTAAAAGTACTATGATTAGTTTTGCATTAACATTAAACATTATTGTATTAAACAAAACTATCTCATTGTATAATACATACGACCACTAGTTTTTCTACACACTCCCAAGTGTGTGTTATAATAAATATATAAATTCAAATTTCAACTATAAATATTCAAAACAAGTATATCAAGATTTGGTTCATGTAACATTTTGGGAGATGAATAAATCGTTGCCCTCCATGAATGAAACTGTACTTTATTGTTATTAATTAATTATTATTAGGGCAATTTACACCAAACCCCTGAGATAAGGTTAAATTACGAAAAAACCCTCTTGTTTGCATAATTACAGCCACCCACATCAACTATGTATTGTCTTATGAAAAAAACCCTTCTAGTTGGAAAATTTAGAGGTGTTCATTCGGTAAAATCATATCGAAATTTCGGTACGTCAAATCCGTTTATCGTACGATTTGGTAAAAAACTGAATTATCGAAATTTTATTAAAAATATTTAAAATTTTGTTTTTTTTTTATTTTTAATTAATTTTAGTTTAAATAAATTAATAACTGAATATCGAACCGAATTGCCGGTTCAGTAATCGGCATGTATCGAATTTTCGTTCGGTTCAATTGGTTTACCAACCAGATGAAGACCCCTATGTAAATTTGACAACGTAAGGATGAATGTGTAAGGAAATACGTAGTTGAAGGAGGTGGGTGTAATTATGCAAACAAGAGGGATATTTTTTGTAATTTGACCTTACTTTAGGGGTTCACCGTAATTTACCCTTAATTATTTATTTATTCATTTTTGTTTAATGCAGAATTTTAATTGGAGTAAAGAACAATATAATGTCGGTGTAATAAAACTAGCTATGTCAACGACAAGGACTCACGTCGATTATCTCTTTTTTTTTTTTTTTTTTTTAATTATTATTTCGTAATAATTTAAATGATTAGAGACAAATTTGAACTTGTTTATGAAGACTTGAACCTTCTAGCATCACATAATATGATTTTTTTTAATTTTTTTTAATTTTTTATTTATTTTTTATTTTTTTAATCATTTTTTGGGTACTTTGTTATGGCAAAATATAGGATAAGTAACATGCATTTTTTAAAAAAAAATTGGGTGTAGTTACTGTTAACCGCAAATTTTTCCATTTGCAAAATATATAAATACAAGATAAGAAAAATATAGGAAACAAATAAATTTATTATCAAACGAAAGCGGATTACAATCTCCGTGAATTCTCCTGATTCTTCTATTATATTTTAATTTTGATTCAAGGGCTTAAAAGTTTGTTCTTGAATCGAGCGAATGATTTCCTATCGCGAACACCTCGAATTCGAATATGTTATGAATTCGAGGTGGAGGCTCGAGACGTGTATGTGTCTGTGTGAGTCTCTATTTTACATGCACTGAAAGCCCTATTTTTATAGCCACGAGCTAGGTTTTCTTGACATGTAGCATGGCCGATGGACTTGGATACTTGCCATTTGATTTAGTGGGCTAGATTTGTGCCCAATTAGATAATCCTTAAAATAAGAATGTATTACTTATTTAAAGATTAATCCATTTGTAAAGCCTAAATATGTTTTTTTTTTTGAGTGGCAAAGCCTAAATATGTTATGGACTAAGAATTGAGAAATAACCGATTTATTTAGCCATTAATTGGTGATTTTTTTTCGAAATTCCGGTGTCAACAAAAACCCCCCACTTCAAGAATCGGCGAAGAACATGCGTAATACTTGAGAGGCGAGACTTGAAGTATTCGGTGAAAAACATACCAAATACTTGTAAAAGGCGAGACTTCGATTTTATTTATTTAATTTTTCTTTCTTTGTTGGCTCCACAACCCGTTTCCTCCATTTTTGGTGTGTACATAGAATTGCTATCACTTTTGGGGACTTCAATGAAAAGTCCACTTCTGTTATTGGAGGGTTGAAATGTAATATTGTATTTCTGAATTTGAGGCAAACTTGACATTTCTTTCTTTTCCACCCATGGATCCAATTGCAATTTAAGACTTGATTGGAGAATTTGATTTTTTTTTTTAATTGTTTTTTTATTTACTAATTGTGTATATACTATTTATAATTTGAAGAAATATGTAAATTTTCTTTGAGCTTGGGTTGAAGAGAATATGCAACACGTTATAATTATTGACTTATTGAAAATTCTCTTTTAGCCTTGACCGAATATTAAATAAATTTTATTATCACCCAAAGATTAGATCTAATTATATACCGACTCCCTTGGGTATGGATAAATTACACGCTATGCAGCACAGACACAGAAATACTGACTCGGTGAAATGGAGAAACAGATATGGGAAAACCCTATGTTCCGAAAAATTGGATATAGGAAGGTGGTGGAAACCTGCAAATATTGAAACTATAGGGATATATTCATAAATTCTAAAAAATATTACAAACATTAACATATATGATTATCGTCTAACAAATTATCTATCGGAGATAAAACAACTGCATTACTATAAAATTAATGTCTATAAAATATCAAAAAGGTCACTAGAAGTAAAAAAGAAAAAGAAAAGAAATAAAATTTAAGATTTTTTTTTATTTTTTTGGGTAACGAGTTTCTATTTTTTTTTCATTATTACCATAAACGTCCCCGAAACTTCTTAGATATCTACAGAAATGGTCCTGACTTGTTTCAGACAAATGTCATGAAGTTTCGGTTCCCAAAATGTGTCCGAAACGCGGAAACGCTCGTGTAAACAAGATTCAGTGCATCTTTGATTACATGTATCTAGATTGTTGGAGATATTAATACTAAATGATACATTTCACTAACAGCTTAAGCTTTTGGTTGAGATGGTCATCCAACATGGTATCAGAGCCAGGCCAAATAAAAGGTCCTGAGTTCGAATCCCACCGCCACCCAATTCAAATATTTCAAGTGCAAGGCTTCAAATGTAATTCGCCTGCACTTGAGGGGGCGTGTTGGAGATATATGTGAGGGTAAAAATATAATATATTGAATTTGACTTGAATTTTTAATCCATATCATACATGAAAGGGGTAAGTATCAAAAGGGAACGAATATCTTTCATATTATTTAATATTTACGAAAAAATCCCCAAAACTTTTATTTTTTTCCAAACTCAATTATGACTTTCTTGATCATAAATAAATTCTAGGGTAAATTACAACCACCTCCCTGAGGTATGGTCAATTTACGAAAAAAAAATACCCTTCTTGTTTGGATAATTACATTTACCCCTCAACTATGATTTTTTTTTACATCTCCACCCTTATGTTGTCAAATTCAACATAATCATCTAGATTTCGTGGAATGTGCTCTAGTTTGTACTCGTTTTGTGAATTTGTGTAAAAATACAGTTTCTAATGCACCACAATCAGATATATACAATGCCAAAAAACACATATTATGATCATTTTGCTTCAAAATGTGGAGTTCGAATGGGATAAAACGTGTACAAAAGTGATAATATTCTATATAATTTAAAAAAATTCCACTAAATTTGAAACCTCATGGGTGGACGTGTAAGAAAATTTATAGTTGAGGGGGTGATTGTAATTACCCAAACAGGAGGGGGTTTCGTAATTTGACCATAACTTAGGGGTTGGTTGTATTTTATATAAGTTTCTATATAAAAAAACATCAATTTGATGTGGGATTAGCTGGAAAAGAATCTTGGTTTCCAATATAAAACGCTAGCAACCCTTTTTTTTCGGCATGCAATCGATTCGTTCGTCGAAAAAAAAAAAGAACTGCATTGTGCCTTGTTTGGCTGCAACAAATTAGTTTTTTTTTTTGCAGCGAAATCAAGAATCAAGATTCGATAATGGGAAGACAACCTTGCTGCGAAAAAGTCGGGATCAAACGGGGCCCGTGGACCATCGAAGAAGATTCCAAGCTCAATCATTTCATCCTCAACAATGGTATACAATGCTGGAGGCTTGTTCCTAAACTTGCAGGTGAGTTATTCGAAATTCGACTTTTTCTTTTTCTTTTTAATAAATAAATGATAAATAATTAATTTTGATGATGATGTCATAAATTATAGGTTTAATGAGATGTGGGAAGAGTTGTAGATTAAGGTGGATAAATTACCTAAGACCAGATCTTAAAAGAGGTGGTTTTACAGAAGCAGAGGAAGACATGATCATTCAACTTCATTCCAGACTAGGTAACAGGTAATAAATATTTTTTCGGAGTTTTATCGATTTAATTCGAGCTCAACCTAAATTCGATCCCACGTGGTTGATCGACAAATAATACTATTAAGGGTAAATTACGAGAAACCCATGAGGTAAGTGTTAAGTGTATATT